TTGTATTCCTCTATTTTTTGGTTATCATCTGTTTCCGTTCCCGAGCTGAATCGTCTTCGACCGCATTGACGGAGGGACCATCTCGCCGTTACGACGGCCTCGCGGCGGTGCGTCGCTCGGTCGAACGGTGAGGCGCCCTTTCGAATTATAAGGACGGGGCTGGCCGGTACAGGGGGTTGCCCCTGATGGGGAGCACGTGCGCCTCGGAGTTAAACACCCAGTCGTCCAGGTTTATGAGATCGTCGTCGCTGAACAGCAGGTAGAGGTACTGGAAAAGATTCGAATGTCGGTTTAGTTTTGGGTTTCGTGCGCTCTCGACCCCTCGCCAAGTGACTCTCATTGGTGACTCTCATCTTTTTTCATTTTAGATTCATGATTTTCAATGGCCCTCCGAAGGGAAGAACGGTTATCTAGCCGCGATAAAAACAGTTAATATCCTGTAAAGATTGAACATTGGTACTTTGAGGAACGATCAATACTCGAATTAAATTCAATACGAACTGTTCGCGAGTCAGGTGTTCAGATATTCCGGCACAGCGAGGCGAGGGGTTAATCGAAAGGTAATGATCTAATAAATACTTCTACTATCTCTATCGCTTGAATTCATCCATGCGAACTTTGTATTAATTAGAATAATACGAATTACGAACGAGAAGTTTAACACGTTCGCTACGAGTTTCACGCTCGTTACTCATATAAAGACAAGTCAATTACTTCCACTTGTCTGTTTTTGCACACAAGCTGATAAGATTTATCTCCTAAGTTCTTCTTTGCAGTTCACGAAGATTATATGTTGCGGTACATATTGTAACTAAATATGGATACTGCTATTACATAGAATGCTCACAGCGAACGTGTTAATATGTAGAGTTTTTTTGATTATTCGTGGAAAAATTCTCAAGAATCCTAGAGAACCGCATCGGCTCTAAACAGAGAGATCGCCGGTTTAACGAGATTCGTCAAACGTTCAGGCATTGGTTAGCGAAACCAATCAGCTGCGCGTTAATAAGTAAATTAACTTCTTAACGCGTTTCGCCTGTTATAGGCGATAATCATTGTCCGCGGAGTTGCTATCTGACGTTCAATTTTGTAGCTGTTAGCCGGCCGCGTAGCTCGATCATTTTAATCGTGCCGGCCACAACAAAAACCTGCAGTTCGTCCGCGGCAGAAGTTAACGAGGTTGCTCTCCGCGCTCGTGATAATGCAACTTTGAAACGGGGCGTAGTTCGCGAAGCCCGGCGGAAACGTTTCGCCGATGCGGCTTGGAGCTGACTGGCTCGGCGCATAGTAGTCTAGATTGTCGAATTAAGAGGAAAAAAAATTTAAAATCACTTGATTTATCATTTAGAATATAATTTTCTACGTACTTTTGTATTCTACATTTGTATGTAACTAAAATCAAAGTGATAGGATTGCAGTGGGTTTATAATAGAATTATCATAGGCCACTTCCGAGCGAGATAGTCATTTGTTCCTTCACTTGTAATTTAAATTCTCGTTGATTATTTTGTAAGAAAGTAATTAAGGTTTCTTTATAAATCAAATTAGGTGATCTAATTCTTTCAGCTTTTATTTAACACTAGATTTACCCGTCAATTTGACGGATATTGAACTTTTTAAACATTATTTCGTAACAATTTAACTCGCTTTTGATTGATGCAATTTCGTGAATACTCATTGTAATTCTCTGTTCTTGAAACACTAACTTCCATAATCTATATAAACAAACATATATTATTCTAGGAACGATAGAATGAAGTATAGAATAATCTCCGTAAATCTAGTGTTAAATACGTTCCTAAGAAAGTATGGCCATCTTTTCCGGAATTACCCTATAGTAGAATTATATTTAACATATGTCAACGTATAAACACCACTGTCGTCATAGTTGATTAACGAAACATCAAAAGTTGCGATGACTTTTAAGTAGCGCGTATGAAACACGGAACGGTCGCTGATGCTTATATTCTTTTACGTCGAATTTCGGACTATTTTTCTCCTAACTGTACGTTCTAGACTGCTGTGCGCTGTCCGGGTCAAATGAAAATTTGCGGGAAAAGTGCAACGCGAAGGAGACTGGTCATTTTCGCGTCCGTCGGAACAGAGGAACCGTTCCGCGGCTAATTGCGAGACGCGAAGGTGTTAATTAAGCTGAAGTCGCTGAAAAAAATGCGCGCAACGAGCATCAAAAATTCCCAGCCTCGGCTCCGGCTGAGGGCGAATTAACAAAACACCGTATTTTCTTTTCATTTTGCTCGCGCGATGTATAGCATTCAGTATTCGCGAGAAATATGGATTTCAAATCTTCCTCCAGTGAATCAGGATTAAACCGGACATGTTTGGTTCTTACTGCGCGTGTATGTTCGCGAGACGTTCGAGCAGGTCACTCCTTTTATTCCCGCTTTATCGATTTCACGGGATACGAACGATCGTTCTGTTCCAATATTTGCGTGGAATTTGTATTCCTTCATTTCTGCTCTGATTATTTTTTAATGTTTTTTACATAAAGTTCGTTTGGTAATCCTTTCAAATTTCATTTTCAATGAGACACTTCGCGAGACTTTCCTTTGGCTTGTAACTACGTCTGTTTCACGCGAGATGTTCTCTATCGCTCAAATTAAAACATAATAGATAAACAGATAGACAGATAGATTGATAGATAAATAGGTAAATAGGTAAATAGACAAACAGATAAATAGATAAATAAAAAAAAAGACAAATAGATATATAGACAAACAGACAAATAGATAAATCAAAACTTAGATGAAAACATTGATAGAAAATAGATGAAGTTGTTCGTTACGATTAAAATATCCTACGTTTAATCACGAATTAGCCAGAAAATTCTTTTGACCGGTTTCTCACGTCTCCCCCGGTTTCCTGCAATCACCTTACCGATGACAAATCATAACATTCGGGGGAGGATGAAATTCAGTCCTCGTGCAAGGAGCTTCTAGTGAATTTCGGATGAGACTAGGAACTCATCCCTGTGTGTTTGAACCTTACCTTCAGCGTCTCGGCGAAGAAGTAGCTTTGTTGAACGTCGTCCTGCGGCGGATCAACCGTGTAAACATTCTGAAGTCCGGTGAAACCTCCCGGAACACGACAGTACTTCTCCAACGCCTGGACCGCTTCCCATCCCCACTCACGGTATTTCGGGTCCTTTGTCAGCCGCCACATCACGAAATACGATTCGAAGGTCTGAAAGGAAAATATTTTACCTCGGAATTTGGCGAACGGCCCGTGTTTGTCCGGCGAGTCGCGCGGAAAAGAACGGATTCACCGAAGCCTTCGTTGCCCGCCGATTTGATTGTTTCTGTTTCTTTCCCTTAACCCTTTCGGGACTATTGGGACACATACGTCTCAGTCAACTGAACTTAGATACTAACATACATGTCTCAGTACAAAGGACTAATTTTGGAAGTATAAGTCGTTTTGAGTATCAAAAATCATGTTTCGTTATAAGTTACGCACTACACATTAATTGCTGTTTATTTCATCCGATCATTTTGACTGAATTCGTCAACTGAAGTATTAAAAATGTAGCGTACCACTGTTATTTTCTTTGAAAAACAATCCGTCTCGGAAGGGTTAATTCGGCTGGGCGCATCGATCGCAGTGACTTTGCATCGGGATAGCGCTTTTGGTGTAACAATACTAATCACGTTATTTTTAAACTAAATTTTTGTATTCTTTGCGAAGAATCGTTTCGTTAATGACAAATTAAACTGTCAATAACTGCAATTTTATCATATCCGGTATGAGATACCCTTTGCACTCGGAAGCTTTTCACTGGAAACATTCGAGACTTTCCAATGAGACATAGACAATATTATTTGAAACGAAGTAATTGGAAAACATACGCAAATTAAGATAGAATGTTATTTTATATCAGTATTTCGCGTATTGATTCCTTATACAAAATTTAATATTATACATAACGTTAGGTAATTTTGTTGTATTAAATCAAATGGTGAGTGAGAGTCACCTCTCGAGTGCAAACGGTTAAAAATCGGGAAAATTAAATTGGAGTTGATTGAGCATTCGCTAGGGAACATGATGGCGCAGAAGGTTAGTTTATTGAAAGCGATCGACGACTATGATATAATCAGACACTGGCTCGATGAATGATTTATTTAACGACTCGACTGTCCTGTGTTACTTGGATGCGAATGATCGGAAAACTTACTTCCGGTCGAAGGATGTAATATTTCTCGCCGTTCTTTAAACTTCTCGCTTCGTTGCCCTCGATGAAGTGGAAAGCTTCTGGGCCGAGCTTCGTCAAGCTTCGATCGTAAGATTCGTGGCACGTATTGGTTAGACCACCGGCAACCATCATGTATCTCTCGGACAATTCGTTTTCCAGAGTTTTGGCGCCCAATGCGAACATGCCGCCTGTAAGTGAACAGGTATTCTTCATGGTACAAAATGAACACAATAAATAAGCGTAACGGATAGTGATTTGTCTGGTCAATCTAGAGTGTAATGTCCTTCGAGGCATGAAAATCATTCTTTCACGTAAGATATCTCTTTTATTCCTGATATATCAGCGAAGAACAAACTGTTAGACGATCTTTGGGATAAATTACTTGCAGTGAATGAATATTTAAAGCTTCATATAAGAATTTTTCAATAAGAATACTAAGCTCGGGACTGTAAAAGGAAGCATTGTCGTAAAACTTATACGCGCCCATTTCATTACAATAATCAAGGCAACATGTAAATGCTCATTAAACAAGGTAGACGGTGATTTGTAAGAAATACAGTATAGAAGAAGGCCGTAAGATCTCGCAGTAAAACAGCCGTACAACAAAGCTTCTATTGTGCTTATACATTCAAATAGGATTCCCTCGTAATCCTCGTTCAAGCGGAGGCATTTATTAGCCAATTAGAGGAGCACAAAACAAATCTCCGAGGGAGCAAAAACTAGGTTAATAAAAAGGATTTTCGCGACAGCAAATAAGGAACGGATTACATGGAGAGACAGGAGGATCCGTTTCTTATGAAACTCACCAGCGAAACACGCCAGATGGCCCATTTTATGATCAGGCCTGTCGTACTTTAAATCGGACACGTAGAGCAGCTTCCCCGGCGATGTCTTGATCATGTGTTGATCTATCGCGGCGATCGCCTCGTCGTACATTTGACGGGCCTCGACGTCCTCCTTGCCGGACTGGATCCACGCTTTCAGCAGGTACTCGTAGAAGCTGTCGCCGAGCCCTCCCAGCGACATGTGATCTGTATTACATAAGAAACATAGATCGTTAATCAATTCTCGAGAAAGGCATCTTCCGAACGTGTAACTATGTTTGAATTCCACTCTCAACACGAAATTTACTCTGCCAACGTCATATATTCGTAAAGACAATTCTACACTTTACACAAAGAAAGTGAGACTAATGTTTTAGACGTTGCTGTTTGAAGCTATAAGATATAACATTATACTTAGAGATTCAATCATTATTTCTGGTCGGACTTTTTCACTATTTCACTCGGAAGGTTCGTCGAATTTAATAGAATATTGCGACCAAGATTAATTGAAACAACTACAGGGAACGCGTTAATTATAATAAATTATAATCTTCAATTATCAGAGATCCCTAACGCACCAAAACCCTTCTCAAATTATAAGCATCATTCAACTCAATTTATAGCACGCCCCAACATTTCGCCCAGATTTCATCTAGACCAAAATCAAATGAGCGCGCAACAAATTTTCTGAGTACTACAGTATTATAAAATAATCATCGTACAGATAATTACCAATGGTGTACACAGAACGAAACAAGCAAGACGATTAAAACGTTTCAGCGAGATTTACTCGTCACGCCACTCGTCTAAACTGTATTCATTCAAGTTCATCCCCGGGGTTTCGATCGTAATCGCGTTTTTCCGTAGCGCGCGGAGATTCCATTTCTCGTTCAGTAGCGAGTCACGAGCGTCGCCGAGGGAAGAGGAAAACGAAAGTACTCAAGGATTCCCGCAACGAGGAGGGGAAGACGGAAGAGTCGCGGGAGTAAAACCGCTCGAGCTCTCTTCCCTCTTTATTCCGGTGGCTCTCAGACGAGTTGTCGGAGTAGCTCTCTCCTCGGTACAAAAACCTCGCCGACATCCGCGGAAAACTGCGGGCCAGCCTGTCTTTTCTATTTCCGAAGACCTGTGGAGCCGCCAGGTTTAAGAATGCCCGACCGCCTCACCGCTAGACACCCATTAACGAAGCATCTTTCAATCGCTGTCGTGCGCGCGACACTTGTTCCCCCGATATTTACGATCGAACGATTTTTTCCAACCCCCGCGTGATTATACAGTTAACCTTCTTTAACACGTTGAAAAAATATAATATTCAATCGTTCGATTGAATCGCGTTATAATTGTTACATGTTCATTAAACTGAACACCGCTGCGTCAAGTGGCATTGTTTATAATATAGAAGTGTTCTCAAATAATCGTTTAATTTTTAACCCTTTGCACTCGAAATACGACTCTCAGTCGATATACCAAAATTCTAAAGTCATCCAGAAAATATTAAGCTTCGCGTGATCTATAAATATGTGAAATATTGAGATAATAATTTTGTTTCTTAACTTATGTGTGCTCTCGTTCAGTTGGTTTCAAAGTATGTCGTCTATGACTCAATGGAAGATGTTGAATATTTCTAGTAAAAGACTTCAGCGTGTAAACTTTGAAAGACTGGAACTAAATGAAAAAGATATCAGTCTTCGTCCCCGAAACGCATTGACAGTCTATTTCCGAACCGCTCACACTTTCCCTGATCAAAAATCAAACCCCGCCGCCAGTCTTCGCATTCGCTTTCCGATGTTCGGCTTCGTAATGCCATTCTTCCGGTAATTAATTCAACGCGGAATCCTGGCGGTTCGCTTCGCCGGAAGCCGAGTCGGCCCTCCGAACGCTCGACCCTTCAATGGAACCATAAATTCTGTAGCAAACCGCGGAGTTCGACTTGACGGTCGCCGTGTCGGTTAAAGCCACCTACACACGTCGAAGCATGTTGCGATGCATGCAGTTACTCCCAGATTCCACGAAACATGTGCAACGCGCGTAGCTCGGCATTGAAGAATCGACACCGGAAGCAACCGGCGTCGACGCAGGAATCAGAGTCCCGCATTAGTCGACAAAGAAAGGTTCGGGCTTCCTAATCACTAGGCGAATTTCATTTAAACAGTTCATCTAAGGAAGTTACATTGAAAACCAAAGACATCCGTATGCAGACGATTTCCATAATCGCGAAAGTCCATTCGTCTTTAGCTTTTCAATGACGCGTATCTGGAAAATTCTTTAACCAGCTAGCTATTTGTAACGAGTACACTCGCCATGAAGAAATGCCAAGGTTTTACGTTAACCCTCTGTCCTATGGTTTCCTTCTGAACTGTGATCGATCTAACTACTTCGTTATTAATAATTTATTGAAAATAAGAGAAAATTCCAGTCTTATTCTATGTCAACGTATGGTCTAACGTACAATCATTGATAATAGAGGAATAATATGTAATTTGCATTCAAACAAATTGAATAATAGTTCAACAAATTGAATAAATAATAGTGGAAAAATCTTCGCCACGAGTCTGACACGATATTGTAGGGCAATGGGTTAAGGGAATATTCACCTAGGCAACAACCAATTTTACAGGTATACTCGAATGAGTATTCTTGAAATAATCATTTGTAGATACGAATACGCGTACGCGAATAAGGTGCACACTCGAAGAGGTCGTAGCAGCTAACTGGTTAATTGATCGTCTTTTACCTCTAATTAACCTGTCAGCTTATTATCGATGATAATACCGGAGTATTATAAGTATAGAACATAATCGTGCATCAACGCCGTGTTGCAAACTAACAATAAGAAGAATTATAAGGCAAACTGACGCAAGTTTCGTGAACCCTAACAACCGATGCCCATAACATGTACCAATGCGTGTATGGGGCTTAAAGGCAGAAAAGGAGGAACAAGAAAAAACGAGATCGCAGCGAGAAGGACGAACGATCGGTTCCAGGACGATGATAAATATTCGTGGGGGAAGGGAGGGGTGGTCGTCATACGCGGAAAATACGGGAGGGATTGGCGGAACAACGGCAGAAGAAGAGGATTTAGCACCCGAGGGGATGCGTGGCATGATAAATGCGATATTCGGGATCGCGCGAAGAGATCTCGGCGGCAGTCTCCTCGGAAGACGACGGAAGCACAAAACGAAACTCAAGAGGAACCGTGAAACGGGAGCGACGGACGCGCCATCCTCTTCTTCGTTCGTCCTCCGTTTCTCGCGTCGAAACTATTCCAGCGATATAATTGATGGCCGTCAGATTAAAAATCTATTTTGACCCGAAATTCTCCGGGCACCGGATGATTTATTAAATTAAATTACAGTACTGAGACACGAGCCACGTTTACGTCTGTCTCCGTCGGCTCTTCCTCGTTTCTCCTTCTTTTTTCACGTTTCCGTTTCTTTCTTTCTTTCTTTCTGTTTTTCTCTCATTTCGTTTCACGCGTAATGAGCGCGTCAAGTTTCCTTTTCCCTCTTGCGGCAGCTCGCTCGCTCGCTCGCGGGGTGATCGATTTTTATCGGAAACACCGGCCCGATTGCTTTTATTTCGTTGTTAAGGATTGGTTAAGTATCGGCTGCGGAGGGATTCCGATTTTTATTGTGGAACCACGATATTTATGAAGACGCATCGCTCACCGCGGTATAATTACGTTGTACGTATGATGCCGGTTTTTTGCGCGGCGGTCGCGTTAATTGAAATCGATGTTCCGGATTTTGAGAAATCGGCCGCACGTCCCGGAGGAAGATATTTATCGATGTTCTTGAATTCTTGTTTGGTTGACGGGCTGAACGTCGATAGGAACTGTTTTGTTCGGCTTAAGAAAAGTGGGGAATACGAACGATCGTTTGTGGAATTCGGTTTTGTATATGAGTCGCTCAGAAGCCAATGCGGTTAGGTCCAGAAAACAAGAATTTAGAAAATTAATGTTTGGCTTCTGAAATGATTATACAATATTTTCAGAAGTTATACAAAGAGGGGTTTTCTGGCCTAGAAAAAACGGAGAAACGAGTAAATCCTTTAATAACTAAAAAGAATATTATTTATTCCATTAAAATTGACGTCAAGAAATATCGAGGAACGGACCGCATTGGCTTCTAAGCGACTCACATGTGGTATAAGGCATCAACCTTTTACACTGGAAATTAAGTCAGACATTTGTCAAAGTCTTGCGCGAAGAATTTTATTTTTTACCTATTTTACGCAGATATATACACTACTTTTGTGTATTGATAATTTTGTATAGAGTCGTAGGTTTCAAAATAATTTTGGGATCAAAAAATATTGAGGCGCGTCATAAAGGAAAATACGAAAAATACGTCGATTGAATTAAATTATTGTTATCGCAAGTTGAGTGCCATCGTATTACATAGCATTATTTATAATATAGAAATGTTTTCAAATAATCATCGTTTAATACTAGAACTACCAGCGGTTGATCAAAATCACTCATTCCTCGTTTAATCTCTCATAATAACCGAGAGCATATAAATACATAGAAACGATTAAAGTAGTTGATTTATTAATGTACAAATTAAAATATAACTTAACTGACATCTCAATGAACACACTTCTATGGTTTCTATAAAAGAATGTTTAAAAATCTGTTCAACTGCTCGGTAGTTCTAGTAATTGAGTGAGCTATAGTTAATTGAGCTATAGTTAATTGAGTGAGTTGTAGTAATTCGATTAGGTTGGGGGTCACTGGCGACCTCCATGCCGTTCAACGTGTTAACGATCCAAGTGATTAACGGCACGTTTAAAATGTACGACAAAGGACGAGTTCGATGATTATCAATTAAGAATTACTTACGTTGTCCCCACTTCCCGGTTCTCGGGTGAATGTAATTCGGATAGAGTCCTCTCGGTTTCTCCAGGTTCTTCAACACCTTCCTGACAGTCTCGACTTTACTCTTGAAAACGGGATTGCCGGTGATGTCGCTGAGATACGTGAACTCCAAGTGCATCGTGCCAATTTCGGACAGTATGCTGCACCCGCTGCTCGCCCAGCCGTAATTCTTGCTCGCCTGAAAATTCAAACGGAATTCGAGTTCGATTAATCCATTACAACAAATCTTATGCGGTATGAAATGAATCAATATCAACCTATGAACACAGATCAACAATGTGTTCAATAATTTGATTAAAACGAATATATCTGGTAACTTTGAAGTTACAATGACGTTGAACGTTTACGGCTGCGCGTATAAAGGTTTAAGTTGATTGATTATACAATTTCATTCGTTATTTTGCGGCAAAAACTGAATTAATTCAATTGAACCCAGTATCTCGATGTGTGACTTCAAAGTCACGCGGGCCTATAGAGGATTAACTCGGTTCAACGATATTTTCTGTCGCACTATAGAGTGCTGGATAGGGGGGATCCAATTAATCGAATAATAAACGCTGCCCGATAGTGATTCCATCGTAGGTCATACTCTTCCGCGAGACGGTTTCGTTTCACGATTTTGTTTGGAATATAAATATTAATCGCCGCCGTGAGCTTATAGGTCCCGAGCGATTCAATAGTGATAATTTCCGGTATCCGCGCCGAATTGAATTTAAATATTTGGCAGGGAACTGAATCGTAATGAAACTTTGACAAAACAACGATTCCGACGAACGAAAAATTGATTTATTCCATCTCATTTTATTGCTATATGCGATGTTTAGCAGAAGTGATTTTTACAATGGATTTTCTGTCTTATTCTTATCAAAAGTGTCCATAATAGTTCACCAATGCAAACTGCTTCAATTCAGGGAACATCTAACTACGCAGCAAAAACATTTACTTTCAACTCCCGCGAACCTGTCGGAAGAGAATATACTCATCTCCATAATTCCCGTTCTAATCGGCTGCTCTACGAAGATTCACCCAAAAATCTGCAGTCTAACAATGGGACATCCACTTCCATACCCGTTCCCGCCATTCCGTATTCCTCGCAGCGTTGCGACGTAAACACGATATAGCGTGCTAAGTAATTTATACCTCGAATACCCGGCAAGAGGTGACTTGCGCAGCTAGCGGCGGAAATCACACCGGTAATTTCTTTGCGGAACAAAAGTTCGCGTAATGGAAGTTCTGCTGCGCGACGGGAGCAACAGAAAAAATGGTTCGGATAGAACAGTTCGTACGTGCGAAGCGGGGAACGCGAAAGGTGAACACGAGAGGAGGGGAAAGAACAGACGCGTGTTATGAATAAACGGAGAATCGGGAGAGAATGCGAAAGGAGTACGGACGGAAATCGGCGGGATAAACGAATAAAATCGCATCGATAGGGAATCGATCGGACGAGGAAGACGAACGGGAATAAGAGAAACACAAGGCTGCCGGTATAGCGACCGGGCACCGCCTTTCGTGGCCTCATTATTCGTCCAATTAAGAATTTGCATATTAATCGCGGCCCATCGGTTCGGCAAGCGTGACTTGACAGAATTGTTTCAATTAAACCGGCGGACACAACGTTCGTTCCCGCGTTTCTAATGTGCGCGCAAAAACCGTCGTGGGTCACCGCCTCCTCTGTAGACCTTTCCAGTTCTTTTTACAAGCTGCCGCGAGCACACGCATTACCGGCGAAACAAAACGAGAGGAGAAAAGGGAGAACGAAGATGAACGAATTTCACCGCGATATAAAAGCTGCCGTTCCCGAAGCTCGTCGCACAATTTGAATATTTTCGCGTCTCGGATAGAAAGAATTCACCGTGCTCATATATTCACCACGCCGCAGGCGCAATCCGTTGCTTCGCTAATCGTTCGAAGATAAATCAAGCGATATCTCAGACGATAGTTGAGAATAGATTTAAGTTTATCGCCCATAAAACGTAGGTATGCATATTTACTGTGGACTCGAGATTAATCGGTTCTATAATGAATCTCGAGTTAATTAATCAGAATGTAGTTACCCAAGTGACGGAGTAAAACATGTGCGCTGGTATGTAATTTGTAAACATCGTGATTTTATCATTCGGTGGAATGAATTGATCGAGTTACTTGAATTTCGTCGCTTTCTTTGCTCTTCCAAAAAAGGTTTTCGAAAAATAAGGAATTAGAGGTACTAAATCGTTGATTACTGGTTTGAACGTTTCCTATACTTTATGTAAGTCTTCGTTAGAGAGGGTTATCAGACGTTTGAGGAGAATGCGCGGTGATTGATGGATTAGCGAAGAAACATGTACGATTTAGTTAGATATTTTTATTAGAACGATACTCCCCGCGAGTTGCGTTGGAAGGAAGCATATTTTGATGAGAAAACGGTATCGCTCGGAGCGTTAAATTCTAATTGACACCGCGAATCCCCGGCTTTCACGGGGATGTTCGCGCCCTGTAAATTTTGCGGGCGCAATTACATCAGAAATAATTAACGTTAAAACGCGGCCGGTGTCGGCGCCGGGGTCGACCCGAAACCACGAAATCCCAGACTTACCCCGGTATGGAGATTGATGAGGGAATGAGGAATTCCGGTTTCCGTCTGGAAAGCAGGCAACATCCGTTCGCCAAGCTGAGCCGCCTTATCCCGGAACATCACGTCCCCGGTGAGGGCGTAACAGGCCAGCAGACTTCCCATGAAACGAATGTTTGTCTCGAAAAGAGATATCTCAGAGTTCTGGAAAAAGAAACGGAAAAATATATTTCCTCGTTAGCCCGTTATCGACAAGTGGCGGAGTCATTTCGATCCGCCAGGTTACATTGCTAAACTGATTAACAATTTTCAGGAGTTCATAGAAAATTTGGAAATGCGAAATTGTAGAGAATATGCCCAATACTAAAAAGTATAGGGGATATCCAAGGTGCAAGGATTTTTATGGTATTTATAAGGAAAAACAATTTTCCATCGTAATTCTATTTTTTCGATGATCTTAAGAATTTGAATTGTATAAATGAAAAAAACTAAGAAGCTAGAAACTGAGTTGTCGGATAATATATCTTATACAGTTTTCCCAGAGAATATTTTCTGTACAGATTTATTTAGCAACTGTTAGATATTTTCAGCGATGATTGATCATGTTCGTATTTTAATAGTGGTTCTGGAATACTCTTTTATTTAATATAATTGACACCTGAAATATAAATCTGCACTCTTAATGGCATAGTTCGGGTTCGCAGAATCCGCGCGAGTAATGAAATATCGCTAAAAAGCGTTGATAAAAGGAACTGATGCAAACTGCACCTGAGTCCCACTGCGATGACCTGTTACACAAGCCACGCGACACGGCTTTGCAAAGTCGGTTATTGTTTTTTGCATTTTGCGCATTTTTACACTGCGCCCCGCGCTAACTCATGTTCTTGGCGTTCCACATTTTTCACGAGATATTCTTTCCTCTCTTCCGAAAATAGAATACAGACGAATATGTTTCTCTGGTTCCAGAACCATGGTTTATTATTACAAAGCATACATTTCATACTTTTACATAATTCATTAATCCAGGTATTAAATACCAAAAATTATTCAACAACTTAATACTTTCAATTAAACAATATAACAAATATTCGACAAAACTTAAAAAATCTCTTCACAAGGTTTATTACAATCACAATCCTAATTGTCCCCAATCGTATTGAATATCCTATAGTTCTAGTGTTAACAGATTAATTTTTCGCCGTTGTAATATCCATTGAAAACGAAGAAACTGTTAATCGCCAATTGCCGCAGATGTCTAACATCCAAGTAGACAAAAATTCGTAAGCGATCGCGAACATGTTACGAAGGGGTGTTACGGGAACAGGTACGGAAAAAGATCCTGCGTCAAAGGGGTTAATCAAAGGATTCCATTTCCACGTAACGCATAAGGACACTCTTCAAAATCAATGAAACAAAAAGCAATGGACTCGATGGTGAAGCAGTTGCTCGCAGACGCATCAGCGATTGTCCGTGCGCCGCGCGCAAGACAATGCGACTTGATTGCGTTAGGACAACTTCGGCCGCGCGTTTGTTGCGGGGCGCCTGTGCACGCGTTCGCATCGTTTCACCGGGAAAGGAACGCCGGCGCAACGCGCGGAAACGCGGCTACGTGTGTGAATAATGCTCCTTCGCGGGACGCGATAAACTTGCGAGATTTAAAGTTTCGCGGTGGCTTGTATCCGAGTTTATACGCCGCCGTGGGGGCAGATGCCTGGAAAGCGGCGGGAATTCGGTAATTAAGTTTCCACGGTGTTTAATGAGCTAAGATTATTATTAGTTTCCGAAGTTATTCGGAACGACAAAGTGTCTGGAGCCCACCCGTCCCCGTTTACTTTCATCCTTTTGCCCGCCGCTTAATATTGTTGTCCGCGATTCCGGAAGTTGTTCACGCCAGTCGCTGATTCGAGCTTGACGCGCCGCGAGCTCCAATTCTCTTGTTAAACCCTCGGAGACGGTTGCAGACGAATTTCTGCAGCGAATCGCAGCACGCTTCATCGCGGCGTCCAGATCGCTTTAAAATTAATATCTCGTTCGACGTTAACACCAAACCTACCGAGCAGTTCAGCAACTTCAAGGGTACATCTATCGAGAATTTAATTGATTTGCAATTCAGTTTGCGTATTGCTAAATCAATTTCTTCAATAATTTCTCAGAGAAGTATCTGTTACCTTTTTAACCCTTTGAACTCTGTAGGCTCCAATATTGCACCAGTTATAATATCAAATATTTCAACGAATCAAAGAAACTACCCTAAAATTATTCGATTCTCGACACATCCAAATTTCGTACTGAGGAGGAAAATAAAAGATCGAAGGAATGTTATAGCATTTTTCATTTTCACTGGAGATACCATAAAAATTAGTCACAGTTGCTGATAAATTATAAAACAATCTGGAGTGCTAAGGGTTATTAATTGCAAAAAGAAGAAATCACGAATGGGTCACTTTGACCCGTCTGGTAGGTTTAGTGTTAATTAATCAATTGAATTCTAATCGGAACAACTGTGTACGCCACGAGTAAACATTATTGCGTATGCAGGGAAATTTAGGAATCGGAAGATGAAACTATCGCCGAGCGTTCGAACGTAATCGGAACGGATGTACAATTAATCGAACCGTGAAGTATATTATTAGATTCTGCAAAGTGCTCGGGTTAATATTAATTAAAGATTTTCTCATTAAGATTTGAAGAGTTTCGGATTAACCGACAGCTCGAGTGTCTCTTCAATTTCCTGCAACCGCTCCCTGGAAGCCGGGCTACGTGTCCCTGCGTGAATGCGCTGTTAAGAATTTCGCTATAGGCTACAATCAACGGGGTATAGGTGCTAATTAGCAAGAACACGAAGATACCATCGGCAACAGATGAAGGGATAATGACGCGTCGCGCGTTACAGCAGGTAGATCCCCCGTGGTCTTCCTTTTTTCGAAGGGCAAACTGCTACTAATTGACATTTACGACTTGACGCACCGATGAAAACTTTCAGAGCCATTTGTCGATGCGAACTCGCCGCCCGAAACTCATACTCATCGCCGGGTTACTTTCATCTGTAACTTAACCTAGTGATAACTAGGTTCGTCGATAGGCTAATAATAATAGCGCTGGGTCTAAGACGATCGATGATAATCAAGAAACAAGAATACGACAATCATTATGGAAAATTTGAAAATAATTTTTTCTACTTCTGAAGGGAAAATGTTTATCAGTCGTCGTTGCTGTATTATTCAACATTTGATTCCATTGAAGTATAAAGACGAATATTTTGTGAACGAAGTATTCAAAATTGATTTACGTAGCGAGCAACGAGCTCCGTAAGAATGCAAGGTTTTGAGGAAACAAAGAAGTGTAGCAAGGATCGTTGGAATTAGCAGGGTTTGATCGGACCATAAAATTGAATGTTTCGATCGGTGGGAATGATTGTCGGGTCTGGTGCCTGTTACGAAAGCGATTACGTCTTTCTCCTTGATACCACACCCCTGTCTACGATATCTCGCGTATTAGGATAAACTGCCGCGATTACGACAGGTGGAGCCGGTCGTATTTTGCAATTTTCCTGTCGACTGTGCGGCTCCGCGAGATGCAGCAAATTACAGCAAGCTATTTACGACCGCCGTACGCACATTTCGTTCCATCACGCTACTTCTGACGCCTGTGCATCGATACAACGGGGAGATCAGTGTTTCTCATATAAGCCGAACTTCGTCCGTCCTTCGGCTCGATCAAAATTAAAATAAGCTGAAACGCTGGTATCAGTATTCTTCCAATTTTCAAATTCACTTGCAACCTTTGTTCGACATTGAAACGATCGGCAATGTTTCAGTAAAATACTCGCCTGAACAAAAGAATAACAAAAGAATATACAACAAAGCAGAAAGTTGATATTCTTCTAATCCCTAACGATTCCGCGTAGCGGAAGCCTTCGATTGTCCAAATAACTCAAACCGTAACTCGATCGCGGTTCAATAATAATCGAGAATGCGGGTCGCGGTTTCCTCGATCGGTATAAAATGGAAAAAAGAGAAAGAACGGATGAAGAGCAATAAAGTTATTTCTGACTCGATCCAATAACGCAGGGGTAACGTAAGTACGTCCGCCCGTAGAAATGGAATCATCGTGCAGTTGCGCTGAAACAATAAAATCTAATGGGATATCGAAAACGTTCTAATAACGAAGTTCATCGCGGTTAGCGAGATCGTCTCTATCGGGCTAGGGTTGTCCGTGGAACCGACGGGATTATCTTGGCAAAGCGTTCTACCACGATAAAGGGGTAACAATATAACGAGACGCACGTTTCTGCGATAAACGGAAGAAAAGTGCGGAAGAAATGATAGGCTGACGCCGCTGTCAGCTCTAGAATTATTAACGATCGGTAGCAGGATGGACCGTTCCCGTGGGATGTAATCACGGCGCATGAAAGTAACCAGGACTGAGAGTACAAAGAAACCTTCAATTAAACGCGAGAGAATAAGGGAATAATAACGGCGGGGTTGCGGGCCACGACGGCTGACACGGTCGACGCGGTCCAAGGTGGTTGTAAGTATTTATAAATTGATCGCCGGGGATAAGAGTCGGAAGAACGAACGAAGGAAAAAAGAGGTAACCAAGAAAAGAAAAAAGGGACGAACGAGGATGGAAGGGAATCGGGGAACGAGGGTTTCGTATATTACCAGGCCGATACCTGGTTTATGAGGTCGTTAAGTTAAAAGGACTCGACGTCTATCGGATGTTGCTGCACGTCGCTACACTTTCCGGTTTGGCAGGTGCGCCGGATTAACTCGTTTACTTAGGACCTAATAGCGCTACCTTCTTATTAAGCCTGTAACTTCGTTAAAAGGAGCTGCTCTCCTTGGTGGCCTTTAACCCGATTTCCGCCCCTGGGAACGCTCCTCTTTCAATTTTATGCGCCGGCCGGTCGGCCGGCTACTTTTTCTTCTCGTTCGGGCCTGTGCGTAATTTCGAAAATATCGTCGGAGGCTCCGCATTATCCCCGGCTACGTGATTGAAATTCAATTTTTAGCTTCGCTTGCGCGTTGCATAAGCGATCCCTTTGAGTGGCCGGCCGAAAAATAGATTTTTACGAGGGTACGTCGCGCAACCGACGGAATTGCGCTCGTTGACGAAACGAATTCTTACGGCAGATGAGTTCGGAGCTTTCGGGCATCGCGATACTCTCTTTGCCGTTGTCGGGGATATTTCGACATTAATCG